ATAACGATTTCGTTGTCACCCGGTATAATAATTACATACCAAAACCTCAGAGGGCAAACGTTATACTATGGCCCAATACAGACCAAATAACATGACATTAACACATCTCTAATTACCAGGCCCGGGTAGACGGTACAAATTCCCAGGGCCCGTAAAAACGGGGGCCCGGATTATACGTCTAAATTTTGCTTTACAAGTGTCACATTCCAAATGTGTCGAAATGTGATCTTTTAAATTGGGTTTTCTTTTAAATTTGGCTTTGCAAGTATCACATGCAAAAGGATAAATATCCTCTTTTCGTTTGAATTTCGCTTTGCAAGTGTCACATTCGAAAAGACAAATATCCGAATGTGTAATTGAATGATATTTCAAGCTTGTTTCGGTCTTAAATACAGTATTGCACATAAAACATTGGAACTTCCTAATATTCCCGAGGCCCGTAAGACCTGGGGACTAAAAAAAAAAAGAAAAAGGGAAGAGAAGCCCGTTATTATTTTTTTTTACTAAAGCCTGACCCAGCTCTCGGCGGCCCTGCTAATTACATTAATACAGACACATAGCAACGCAATTTCGTCTATATTGGGTTTATTGTTGCACTTTTTGACAATAAACTTACAGTCTATAATTTTCTTTTAGAACTTCGCAAATACTACTATGAATTGGATAAAGCGACGAAGGAAGCTTACGGCAAGGTGTTATTTAACGAAATCGTACCTTCGTATGTGAAGAAATTTGAAGAGATGGCAAAAGAAAACAACGGGTATTTCGTTGGAAGTTTCGTAAGCAAACAAAAAAGAAGTTTCACACTATAGGGGTGTTGATTTGTACTGTTAGGAGCTGCTATTCATGAACTTTTGATAGGGCAGTATCAATGACAGTACAAATGAACACCCTAGTCACTCTATTTAATTGAATCAAATTTGTTTTTTAGATAACTAACGCCGATTTGGTATTTGTCGGTTATGCACCCTTTCTGAATTTTATGGCGGAAAAAGACCTCTTTGTCTCAACTCCATATTTACAAAAAGTTACTGAACGTGTTATGGAAATTCCGGGAGTCCAGGAGTACGCGGACAGGAATCCAATTTTATTTTAAATTTTGTTTTTTAATTAGGTACCATCGTCACCAAAAGTAACTGGGACAGCATCAAATTAGCTCTTGTACTATTATATGAATTTTATTGTCAAATATTTGTCAAACTATGAATCAAATGCATTTAAATGAATGACAGTAGAATTAGTCCAGGAGATTATTATGCATTATTTTTGTCCCAGATACTTTTGGTGACGATGGTACGTCTGTGACCTGTGTAGATTTTACAATGTTTGTTTTTGAGTGTGCGTTATTTTTTTATTGATCTTCCATGTTTTAATAAGTTATAATTTGATTATAATTCCGTTTGCGCCAAAGGTCAGTGGTTTGAATGCGACAAAAACTTGAACCTTTTTAATTAATTAAATGTACTAAATTTATTACAATAAACAATTTATAAGCATCCTGGAAATGGATCGGCCCTGTTTTTTCTTAGGACAAACTTGATTTTCCTGTCCATGTCCTCGTTGTAGATTGCTTTGCAGCGTTCAAAGTTGATTTTTCTTCGGAACTATTGTACAATGATTATTGTACTAAGCTCAAAATGTTTGAGGCATGATGATAATAGATGGCGATATTAGGCTAGTTGCAAAACTATTAGAATCATTCACAGAAAATTTGTAAATAATTTGATTAGCTTTAATTGAAAACTAATTACGTTGGAATCGGGTTGAAATTTTAATTAATAAATACCTTCCTTAAAATTAATGAAATAAATAACAAAATTTTGGATCAAATCGTTAGGGGCCAAAAGTGCAAATTACAGATTTCTGTAATATAACTTAAATGTTTTTATAAATAATTAGTGTTCAATTATTGCCAAATATGATTATTTTAGACGATTGGCGATTAGATAAATTATCAAAATCGATTAATTATCCGAATAAAATGTAAAAATTAATCAACAAAGTTGCTAGCGCCATCTATTAACGAACAGCCAAAACTTAAATGAAGCTAATGCGATTTTCATGCAAATGACGCTTAATTACTAATAGTTGATAATCAATAAACCACTAATAATTGAAAAAAACATTGATATTAACTAATTAGTACTTATATTTGCATAAAATCTCCAACTATCCAAACTTGCGAATTGCAGATTTCTATAACAATAATCAATCGATTTATAAGAGAATAGTGATTTATTATTAATAAAAAGTAAAAAATATAGTCATATAAAGCAAGTCATCAATAGAAAAATTATTGAAATTAATAATTCGAAAAAACAAATTATTTAAACTACCAGCGCTATCTATCAACGAGCGGCCGAAGTTGCCAATTACAGATTCTTGTAATGGTAATTAATTGATTTCAATGCAAAATAAAGTAATTTTTATTGTTTAAGGCAATTGAAATCAAGAAAAATCAATACAACCGATAAAATAATTGATAAATTATGCAAATTTTCGAACAAAATGGTCGGGAGCCAAAATATGCGAATTACAGATTCCTGTCATAGTAACTTTTCAATTTTTAGTTAGACTCTCGATTATTAGATGGCGCCACTAATAAAATTATTAAAATTGTTTTAATAATTTAAGTCTATGGTACAATAGTTCCGCAGAAGAATCAACGTTCAATCCTAATGATTCACTTTCGTCACTAGATATTTTATCACTATTTTATCGAAAGATGCCTATTTTTCAGTGGCCAGAAAAAAAGTTTTTTGCAGATGCTAGTTTGTTTGTGCAATGAGATTTGGATTTTGTTGGAATTTTTGACATTTTTATGCCTACACAACATAAAACATTTATTATTAAAACCCAAGAATCGTAAACTAACAGGATTGTTCATCCTGAGAAGGCGTACGTTTGCCGGTTCTCGAGTCCACAAGGTCTGCGAGTGACGTCACCACGTCCGCAGCTAATATTGGTAACGTCATCCGCAGACCTCGATGAAATGTTTGCGATTCAGGTTCGTTATTTGATTTTTGCGTCGATTTTAAATGTAGAAATAGCTATTTATGTAACAAGTTGTAAATTGAGCGTGTTTTTTGCACTAAATGCGGAGATTGGGTGGAAAAAGCGGAAAAACCGGGACAATTCGCGTGAAAAGCGGGACCTGAAATTAATAAAAAAAAAGGCGGGACCGATTAACAAAATGCGGGACTGTCCCTCCCAAGGTGGGACGTCTGGCAACTTTGCCACCTCGTGCACCAACCCTTTTGCCTGTGTTTCATGTTTCATGCTCCTGAGCCGCTTTCCAGTACCTAAATTGTTAGAGTATCATGCTCCTCTGGAGTGTGACTGTGGCACTTGAACTGTTCCACACAAGCAGCATTGGAACGCTCCCGTCTTAACCCCCACCATTTCGCACTTCAGGAGCATGAAACACCGAAATAAAGGTTGGTGTACGAGGGGGCAGGGGATAACAGAAAATGTCATTGAAAATGAGTAGTTCAAGTGTACGACACTCTAAGCACTGGAACGCGCAAAGTAATTGTGGAGCACTCTTGAGCTGCTCCGGAGTAACTCAAATAGGTCACTGGAAAGCACCTCTCTGAAATCCGAAATGGTGGGGGTTAAGACGAGAGCGTTCCAGTGCTGCTGTCGAACAGTTCAAGAGCGTCACATTTCAGGAGCATGATACTCTAACAATTTGGGCACTGGAAAGTGGCTCTGAACAACTATTAGTTGTATTCCTTTCAAGAGCTTGAAACACTCGAGCTACTCGCTTCGTTGCTTAGTCGCCCCCGATTTGCAGGGAACAGATGCGTGGTGCAACAAACACTTTTCGAAAGGAATAAGCGCGTGAAGCCCCGGAGCTGTTCCGGAGCTCCTCCTAGGCGTGAAAGAAATACAACTTGCGTGTCACTTCACTTGTCACTTGTCCTTGTCAATTTCAAATTTTGACGCTTTCCAACGGCCATTATATCTTTTTCATTTCAGTGATTTTTTGGTTAGCTCGCACGTGTTTGATTTTATGGCTTGTTTAAGGCCCATTTATGGCTCGCCGTTAGCCCCGCCGTTCGCAGCCACAAAAATGAGACCATTTATAAACTTGCCGTTTGCCGGTCTCAAAAAGTAAATAATAAACATAACCTCTGTTGTGCGTGTGCCTTCATTTTGTCATTTTGTGAGTGATTTGGACGATTTGGTGGTAATTTACTGATTTGATAATAATTAACATGAATAACATGAGCTGAAACAAAATTTTAAATTCGAAAAATCAAAATAATCTCTCCCACTTCATCCCGATGACATTTGTGGTGTGGTAAACATCACATGACTGGACTGGTGAAAATCCGTTTTGAGGCTCAGGCCTATTCGGGTTTGGAAACAGGACGGTTCTAGAACGGTTCAAAACAATCGTACAGTTTATTAATGAGCAAAATAACAACGACTCGGCTATCACAAATTTCACTAATAAACTGTGCGATTCTTTTGGACCGTTCTAGAACCGTACTTTTTCCAAACCCGAATAGGCCCTCTCAAACTTGAAACTGTAGCATGACTTGCTACAGATTTCGGCAACGGAAAAGATAAAATTGGTTTATGTCTAACGGAACGGAACGGCAGAGCTAATAACGGTGTGGACGGTGGGGCCGACGGCAAATATAAACGATCTTTTATACAACATTTGCATAGTCGTAATCATAATCATAGTCTGAGAAGGCGAGTTTAACAGCATGTATTTTAAATGGGAAAGCTCAAGTACCAGTCGAGTTCAGTTGAACTTTGTTTTGAAACGAAACTGTACAACTGGGCCTAAGTCACAATCATAAAAGTGAAAAGTTGCCAACTTTGAGTTATGCTTATGATTATGATTTGTGTATAAACAGTTTCATAAGAAAATATTATTTTATTATGCAAATGTTGTATAAACCAGCCATTATTTGAATGTTTATTACCAATTCCCACTGAAAAATAATTTAGTTGATTTTGAAAGTAGAAACTTACTAAGAATAATGGCTGCTCAAATCAATACCCAGAAAAAGAAAGTGGGCCAAAACATTAAAGTTGTTGTGAGAGTCAGGTAAGAATTGTTTTTTTCTTCTATTTGTATTCAAGTTGATAGTGGGGCTTGAATTGATTATTACAAGTTTATTGTGAGATTTAACGAGATGAGTAAAGAGTCTTAACAAGGCCTCTGTTGTTTTGTAGCTTGGTGAAAAAGTAGAGATTCTCTTTCAAAACAGACCCTCTCAAGTACAATCCTTCTAGCCCAGGAATTCACCCTTGAGATTGAGTCTAATTTTTCATCTTTGGTAGTCTTACAGTCTTACCTATCAACTCGATACTGAATTAATAACTTGAAAGCCCTTTCACAATATTTTTAGAGGCTTTAACAATAGTGATTTTAGCTTGAAAAAATATTTCTTATTGAGTGCACTCGAGGGGTGTGTCACTTCTGAAATTACATGTACATTTTCTTGATTCTATTGTGGAATTCACAGGAATTTGCTTAGAAGTCATTGGAAATTTGGCAGTCAGTGGCACAATTCCGCGTAGTCACTAGAACTCACTCGGCAGTCGCTGGAAGTCGCGCGGCATTCATTGGTATTCACGGCAATTCTGAGGAGTTTGGTCGCGGCATTCGTACTCACCTGCCACAAGTTTTTGATCGCGAATTTGATTTGTGGAATATCTATCCCCCTCTCTATTTATCTATTCCCTGCTCGTTAGACACATTTGTTTGACATCATATTTGAAACGATGAGTGACATAGTAAGCAACATGAAAAAACTTCTAGAAACCTGAGCACAAAGATATTCAACACAGATGAGCATTCGAAAAGTAATTTTTTCAAATTCAAATTAGCTTTTTATTGTCATAAAAAATAAACATTTGTAGACAAAGCCTTAACATAAAAAGATACAATAAAGAAAATAAAAAAAGTAAATACAAATGCATGTCATGTTATAAATAAAAAGAAGAGAAAATTAATGTTCATAGAAAAGTTTTAAAATTAAATAAAAATTACACTAAAAATAGCAAATAAAAGTAGAATACAATACGCAGCTGAAAGTCGGAAAGAAACAGAGTTCCTGAATAAAAATTTAATAAAAATGTATAAAATTAAAAACATAAATTTAAACAGAATGTGTATACTGGAAACCCCAAATTAGAATAATTATTGTTATCAAACATGACACAATTCACAAATTATGTGATTAATTATTTATTAAGTAGGTATATTTTCTTAAAAAGTTTGAGAACTTTCAGCACATTTATCAAGAATTTTCAGAATATTCAGAACTTTCACGAGAAATTTGGGAATTTCGGGAAATTTGAGAAAAATCAGAATTTATTTAGAAAAATGTTTTGTTTTATTCAGCTTCTGATAAAAAGCATAAATTCTCGGGTCCTGCTCGTTTTTGCTCGTTTATTCTCGTTAATTCTCGATCGTGCTCGGAGAACGTTCTCCTAAAATACTTGCTCGAGCATTTTACCTATCCACTACCTGCAATAGAAACTTTAATAGAAATAATATATTTCTACAAGTCTCATCATTTTTCTCTTCCTCTGATCCTTATTTTTTGTCTATTCTTGGATATTGAATTTTTGTTGTAATAAGGAAATTTCAAACACCTGGAATAGACTAATTACATATTTTGATTTGTCTATCAATTTTCCACAAGTTCCCATCAATTATGCATTTCTGTGTGTTTTCTTTCTCTTATTGAAAAATTTCCAGAGCCTGGGCTGGGATAAACAAAAAATGACTCAAAAATATAGTAGAACATATTTTTTGAAAAACTGTATTCGTTTCAGCTCATTTTTACTTTTCATTATTATTTATTTTCATCAGGTATAAAGTCAGAAAAAGAATAGTACAAAGCTTGGTAAAAAAACATTTTCATACTTTTTGTGGGTCATCTTATGTTTTTGAACTTTTTTTTTGTTTATTTTCTTCATTATATTATGTTAACTTCAGATAACATGTGCTTGATTTTTCGTTTTTGTAATTCTTTCAAGGCCCTTCAACAAAAAAGAATCCCGAGGCCAGTCCAGAATGGCAGTTAACTGCATATCGCCCACAGAAATCCAGACAAAAGATAAAAAATACTGCTTCGACAGGGTTTTCCAACCCGATTGCAACCAGCTGGACATTTACTCATACATCGTCGAGCCGATGATCAACGACGTATTCGCCGGATACAATTGCACCGTTTTCGCTTATGGACCAACTGGTACAGGAAAAACGCATACCATGATTGGAGGTGATCCTAGTTCCCTGTCTTCACTGGATTGGAGACGAGTAAGTAGCAAACTAACTTAAAAAAAAAGCTTTTTATAGCAAATTTGAAGCAATATTTTCACAAGAATTCAACTTATTGAGGCTTCAAACAAGCCTTCAATTCTTGATACTTTAATGTTTTAAAATTTAATCAAAATGTTCTCGATGATTTTGTAGTAAAAATCTTCTCAAAATAAAATTATTTCTACCTGCTGTCTTCTGGTCTGTGGGATTCTAAGGGCGGGTATTATAAAACTGCTTTGACAGTTAACTTTTTGAATTACATGTATTTTCAGAAGTTAACTTTAAGTTAATTCTCAAAGTAGTTTTATAATACCCGCCCTAATAAAGGCGGGGGTGGGACTTTTCGCCGCCAGCCGTTTGTTGCGTGATGAAACACTACTAGTTTTGTTTCATTTGAAACAGAGATGGGCTGATATTGAAAAGCAATTAAATAAGACATCAGGTGAATTGGGGAGTCCGAAATTATAACCCTTTTTTCAGTAGCAATAAAAAAGATGCTATGATTTTGACCATGTTATTATTATTATTTGATAGAATCACTAGAAAACCAAACTAACCCTTTCTGCATAAAGTAGCAATAAAAAGAACATTGCCATGATTTTGACCAGGTTATTTTTATTGTTTGGTAGAATCACTAGCAAACTAACCCTTTCTGCATAAAGTAGTAATTAAAAGGACAATGCCATGATTTTGATCAGGTATATTATATATATGTATATATTTTTTATTGTCAATTGTGCTGCATTTCAAAGTTGTGTGATATGATTGTTGGCTTCTCTTGTCTTTATTTTTATTTCTATTTTTATTCTTACTGTTATTTTTATTTTTATTTTATCCTTTGTACAATTGAGACAATAAAGCTTATTTGAAATTGAAAATTGAAATATGCCTCTCAAATAGTCTATAAAATGTTTCTGGCAAAATCCCGGGCTTGCGGCGGAATCTGAATGATTAAATTTGTTGGTCATTCATAAATTAAATAATTATTTTGCTTTGTTTTTTTAATACTTGATTTATGATGCCTCAAATTGAAAATTAAGAATTTTTCAATTGAATTTTTCTTCTTTTCAGAACGAAAAAGCCGGTTGTATTCCCAGAGTGGCCACCAACATATTCGACGAAATCGCTTCGAGGAAAGTAAATGATTACAACGTTCGTGTATCATTTCTGGAGCTTTATAATGAAGAAATACGAGATTTATTGAATTCAGACAAGCGCCGGCCACCATTAAAGTAAGTCGAATTTTAACCCCCAAAAAGAGCATTTGAAATAATAAAAATAGTTTAATAGGCAAAAATTATTAATTTTAATTGCATTTTAAAGCGCGAAGTAGTACTTTTACGCCCTAGGGCGCCTTTTATGCCCGCGGGCCCGAAAGTTTCAAAAATAAACAAAAATTCCTCCATTTCTATTGCTAAGTCCAAAAAATTTTTTCAACAAAACAAGCTTTATTTCAATTAATAAGAATAATAAAATAAGCAATAATGGTAAAATTCAATCTACTTTGAAATTGAAAATACAATTTTTACAGTTTTTAACTTTTAAAACCGGCCCTTTTCCACAGAAATACACAAAAGGATTGTTGCCTTCAACATTGAGTAAAAGCTCTGTTGAAATTTCATTTCAACCCGCTGCCGCCGCCGCTGCATTTAAAGTTAAATTTCTTTATATTTTTATTCCTACTATAATCTGCTGTTTCTACGTTTCTACCCGATTTTCAAGGGAACGTGCGTATGCCCAAACGCATCGCAAAAGTAGGTCAAGACTGGAGGTGGAGAGTACCTACGAAGTCGAAGTTTTTGTTTGCCTTGAGTTCTCATTTCTAGTCAGAGATCGTAACGAATTGCAAGGGTTGTTTTGTACCGCTTTTTTCTTTTCTCCAAATGGCCCGATCGTGCGCCTGAAATCAACCTTTTCTTTCTCTTCAGTTTTCTATTGTTTAATTGCTGTTAATTAACCAATTATTTGCGTTAAAGTGAACGATCCATATACTTATTTAAATATGCAATGTTCTTCAGAATTTGTTACCTGTTTTCTGTAAATAGTTGTAAATAGTCGTTTTTCGTTCAAATTAAAATAAAAACACTTTTCATAATCAAACCATCGTGTTTCCTTGAACCTGGATTTACGAACAAGAATTAGCACGGCATTGGCAGCATTCTACCACAGATTCTACTCTTGAAAAATAAATAAATGTTGGAAACCACAACAAGCTCCATAGGGTGGATGGCTTATTTTTTTTTTTGCATTTTCCATATTAATGTAGGTATGTATATGCCAGGCCAGGAGAGTTTTTTCTACAAAATACTGCTGCTCATTTACACTATGTTGGGCACATCAGGAAATAAAGTCCTCATATGTTTTTTCATAGAGTCTTTTGGACTTTGAAGGTATACATGTTTCTTGGCCTCTTCAACTGCCTCAAGAATAAACTTGGGCATGCTATTTTGCTCCATTTTCAGACGCACTACCATCATAAGAATACCATACACGATACACGTACACTACACAGCACATAATTATTTGTTTGTATTGTTCTGGGTTGCTATAATAGTTACATGATACTTTTGTCAAAAATTGCTTCCTCATACAGCATTAGAATTTTGAATTTATATCTATTCAGTATACATATATAGATGATAATTACCTATTTGATTAGTCAAAATCCCTTCCGGATTATAAATATTGATAAAAATATGAATTGAAGTACATAAAACAACATAATTGATGCTTCTCGAGTCCCACTGGTATATATGGTGTACCACTTTCAAAAATTCGACCGCATCCAGTAAAATCTTGTAATAAACTGAATGTTTTTAGGGTGCATTCAAACCAGATTTTCAGGTTATAATAAGGAATAAACAAGGTGGTACTAGGTTTACACCAGAGAACGTTAAAGGGTTAAGAGAACATATTTCAACTGTCATTGGAGTATTATGCTTATTAAGCTAGAAACTTTATTTCAATTAAATATTTAAAAATGATTTATTTTGCTTTGTTTCATTCGAAACTGCCATATTTGGAGATCTCGCATTTGAAACCATTATAAATTATGCAAAACAAAATTATCAAATGTATACATGAATGAATTGCCTTATTTAGAACCATCTGTTAATTTATATAAACCTTATGGATATTTAAATCTTAATGTATATTTCGTGAATCAAGGAAAAAGATCAATATTACATGATGATAGTATATTGAAGTACAATTTGTATATTATATTCCCTATAATAAACTTTGTAGTTGGTTGGAAAATAAATAAATAAATAAATACGAAAAGCTCCATCACCCCATGATTTGTCTAAATTTTTTTAATTTTCAGCATCTTCAATGACGACAAGGGCGCCGTCTTCATACAAAACCTAAATGAAAAAAACGTCTTCAACAGCAATGACATACACGAACTACTGAAACAAGGCACACTAAGATGTCAGACCAACTCAACTCACATGAACAATCACAGCTCTCGTTCGCACACAGTTTTCACCATAACCGTACACATCAAAGAAGCTGATTTAAACGGCGAAGAAGTTTTGAAGACAGGCAAAATAAATCTAGTAGATCTGGCCGGCAGTGAAAATATCGCGAAAAGCGGCGCCAAAGATAAAAAGGCTCTGGAACTGGCCAACATTAATCGGTCGCTGTTGACATTGGGACGCGTGATACAAATTTTGACAGAAAAAAACAATAGGCACGTTCCTTATCGGGATTCGAAGCTAACGAGAATTTTGCAGGACAGTTTAGGAGGCCACACCAAAACCTGCCTCATCGCCACCGTGTCTCCAGCTGACAGCTCCTACGAAGTAACCCAGTGTACTCTAGAATATGCAATGAGGGCTAGGGACATCAAAAACACTCCGATGGTCAACGAAAAAGTAACACAAGTCGAAATGTTCAAACAACTGACAACGGAAATTGAAGAACTAAAACGCAAATTAGAAGCCACTCAACTTGGCGAAGGCGGAAGCGGAGGCGCAGGCTTTTTCGTGGCGCAACAACACTGGGACGAAATACAAAATCAGCTTCACGTCAACTCAAATTCGTTAACAATGAAAAACGAAATTATGGACGACATGAAAAAGCGCCTGGCCGATCTCGAAGTGATACAAAAAATTAAAACGCGCGACTACGAGGAAGCGATGAAAAATTGCAAAAACAAAGAGAAAATCATCCACAAAGCGACGGCGCTTCTCAAAGAACACCGTGAAAATTTGCAACAGGAAAAGTATTTGTCCAAAAATTATTTCCAAGCGGTGCAAGATGAAAACACCCAGGCGAAATGTTTGCTGCAGGCCAACAATACATTGACCGAAAATTACAACATGGCGCGGTTCAAACTCAAAACCCAATATTTGAATAGTCTCTCCAACAACTGTTTAATACAGGAAAAGTGTCGCAGTTTGCAACAAACTATTGTTAGCGGTCGGGAGCAATTGGACAAGATGTCGTTAACGTCACAGTCTGCCGTGACCAATCAAATGGCTGTTTTGGAAGAAAGTGCGCGGGCGTGTCACCAGGAACTGGAGCGTTGCGCTGCTTGGAAAAAGGAAATTGAGGATGTGGCTAATAATAAGAACGGAGTGAGTGAGGTTATTGAGGAAAGACCGAGTTGTGTGAGTGAAGTGATGGGATTGGTCGATAAAGGATGTAAAAATGTAAGTACCTATTTTCTTTATATTCCTAGTTTATTATTATTATTATTATTATTATTATTAGTTTCAGCAGTAGGCGGATTTAAAATCCGATGAGACTACTGAGTCTGTTGTACTGCGTGTGTCATTGTTTGGTGTTATTAAAATCACATTTAGATTGGTCATGCAGAGTAATGCACAAACATATTGTTCCAGTCTTCGATTTCCTTGTCAAGGCGATTTTTGAATTGGTTCTTGGATGTTGAGTTTACGGTGTCGCTGCTCAGAGAGTTCCAATGATACACCACCCTGTTGGACAGGAAGTTTCGTCTAAGCATTTTGTTGCATTTTTCTTTGGATAGCTTTTTGTTGTGACCCCGTGAGTTTTGATTAATGCTGAGTTGGTATATATTGGTTAAGTTGCAGGCATAGTATCCGTTGAGAATCTTAAATGTCTCGATAAAATCTCCTCTGGTTCTGCGGTCTTTCAGTGTGGTCAGGTTCAATTGAGTCAGTCTGATTTCATATGGCAGATCTTTAAGTTCACTAGGAAGCTTAGTAATCCGCCGTTGTACTCGCTCGAGTTGTTCAATGTCCTTCACATAGTAAGGATTCCAGATTGATTGGGCATACTCAAGTTTTGGTCGAATGTAGGACTTATACAGTTTCAAAATCATCTCTTTAGAGTGGTCTTTGAATGCTGTTTTGATGAGGTATGTCATTGAGTTTGCCTTTTTTGTTACATTAGTGATGTGTGTCTCCCATTTTAGGTCTGCCGTCACTGTGATTCCAAGGTCTTTCTGCTTTGCAACAGTTGTTATTGGTGTTTGTTGTAGAAAATAGCTATGACTAGGGTTATTCTGGCCTATGTGTAGTACAGTACATTTGGAATCATTAAGTGGCATTCCCCACTTTGTTGTCCATTCCTTTATTCTGACAAGATCTTGCTGTAGGTCCTTATGTTGTAATAGAGGGTTACAATATAGGTTACCATCATCTGCAAAAGATGCATTTTTTGTTGTAAGTCCCTGGTACAGATCGCTCAAGTATGTTATGAATATGAGGGGACCGAGAACTGAGCCTTGAGCAACTCCGCTGTGTACTTTGTGCTCCTGCGACAGGCTAGTACCAATTCGTACCTGGAAAGTTCGACCAGACAAAAAACCATCACCAATCAGCCGTAGTAAATCACCTCTGACTCCAAATTGCTGTAGTTTGTATTCGATGTATTCGATTGGTATTTTGTCAAACGCCTTTTCGAAGTCAAGGTAGACCACATCCATTGGTTCTCGGTTGTCATCAGCCAGTGACCAGTCGTTGAACCTAGTTAGAAGGTTAGTGAATGTGGATTTTTTTGGTAGGAAGCCATGCTGCTGTGAGGGTATGATCCTTGTTTCCAAGAAGAAAGATGTAAGTTCTTTTGCTATGACTTTTTCCATGCACTTACACAGCATGCTAGTTAAACTAATTGGCCTGTAGTTTTCTGCCAACTGTTTATTTCCTTTTTTAAATATTGGTGTGACAATAGCTTTCTTCCAGGCTTTCGGAAATTCCCCTGTTGTCTGTAAGATGTTTAACACATTTGCCAGGGGTGCTTTTAGAACTTGTACACAATTTTTGAGAAAAATGGAAGGAATTTCATCTATTCCAGGACTTGAGTTGGACTTTAATGACTTTATGGCAACTTCTAATTTTTCTGGTGTAAATTCGATGTGATTTATCTCAGTTACTGTGTAAGCATTTACTGGTAGTGTGGGCCTAAGGGTGTTTGCGTCCAGAATAGTAAAAACACTCTGGAACTGCTGCGCGAAGCACTCTGCGATTTCCTGATCAGATTTGAACGGTATTGAGGTATCCTTATCTATTAGATTGAAGCTGGCATGCTTTGAGTTTAGCGAACGGCTTATGTATGAGTAGAATTGTTTAGTGTTCGCTAATAAATTGTGTTCATAGTTTCTCCTGGCCGATGTTGATAAATTTGATAATTTTCTTCAGATTTGTTGTTTTGGTAATTATGCCAAAGATTTCGCTTTTGTTGAATTTCTTTGAAAACTTCTTTTGTGAGCCATGGTTTTTGCGGATTAACTTTTTGTGGTTTGTTTGGGATGTGTTTGTTTATTGTGTTTGTTAAAGCCTCGTAGAATTGGTTGAAAGTCAATGGGTTTGCCAGTCTTCTTAATTCCTGTTCAAGTGTTTCATTAACTGCGATGTAATCTGCTTTCCAAAATTGCCTTTTGTAAATTTTTCTGGTTGGTTGAGCAGCTACATTTATTTGTGACTTGGCTGTGATTACAACATGATCACTTTTTCCCAAGGGTGCGTGTGATTTGATATCAAAAACTAACTTTTTCTCATTGGTTATGAGTAGATCAAGTAATGATATCTGGGTGTTGCGGATTCTTGTTGGAAAATTTATTTGCTGATACCCCCTATGGTTTTTATAGCTTTCTAGGAAGGCTTGGCTGCACTGGTCATTTGGATGGACTTCCAGTGTATTCCACTTTATTTCGGGGTAATTGAAGTCTCCCATGATGTAGACAGGTATTTTTAGTGACAATGCATTTTCGATGGTTTTTATGAGTTGTATGTTTTCTACTTCTGTGGTTTTTTCTTTAGGTCTGTACACACATGCAACTAGAATTTTGATTTTGCCAATCAATATTTCTAACCAAATTGATTCAACAGGTTCTATTGTCTTGTATGTTTGAGATATGGTCGCGTGTACATTGTATCCTGCAATGTCACTTTTAACAAAGGCGCAAATTCCGCCACCAGCTGCTCCTCGGTCTTTGCGAAACAGTGAGTAACCAGGTAATTGGATTAAGCTGTCTGGTATTTGCTCAGTTAGCCATGTTTCAGTAATGAGAATGATGCTCGCGTTAGTGCTTTGAATACTTATTTTTAGTTCATCGAGCTTGTTGGTCATGGAGCATAGGTTACTGTACCATAAGGAGACTTCAAACATAGTGGCATGCTTTAGTTTTTTGCGGTTTGTTCGTGGGAGATAACTATCCTAGGGATATTATTGAGATACCTGATCTTCAAGGCAGCCTCTCCTTTTTGTTTGCGTTCTTCCAGTTCTTTCAGGATGTTTTTTAGGTATGCTCTTTGAATGGGTGTTTGATCTGATTTGATATAAACTCCTTCCTCTTTGAGATTGTTTTTGTTTCTGAGCACTTCTCGGGCAGCAGCTATAGAGGGCAGAGTCACACGGATTGGTCTTACTTTACCCTGGGACTGTGCACCCAGTCGATAGACTTTAATGTCAGTTCGCTGAATATTGTTATTTACTGATTTAATCAGTTTGTATGCTTTTTCTGGGTCAGAATCTGGATCATTTTGATTATTGCTTTCATTTGCTCCGAAGATCAGTACATTTACAGATCGTTTTTGTCGCTCAGCCATTTCGCAAAGTGTTGGCTCAATAATTGAGGTGTGATCCCCTGGTGGGGGTTGATTTTTACAAATAGTTTTTTGTGCCGTGATCTCGGTATTAAGTTCTTCAACTTGCCTTTTTAGGTTTGTAGTGTCGGCAGCCACCTGAGCATAGCTTGGTGCATTTTCATTGATTTGTTTTTTCAGTTCCTTGGTAACCTCTTCCAGACTATCAATTCTCTTGTTGATTGTTGGCAGGTCCTTGACAGTTGCATTGATAGTATCCAGACAGTCTGAGCAAAAGTATTTCAGGCTGTGGGTTGAACATAGCACTCGGATTTCACTTGATGTAAAGTGGTTGCAGTTTTTGCAAAATATTTTTCTGCATAGGTCACAAGCGCATCCAAATAGCTCCTTAATTTCCTTGCTTTTGGAGGTGTCTATGACGTAGCACTTTCCCTCACAGTTTGAACAAGTCAAAGAACTCATGGTTTTGGGTTATGTTTTTGTTTACCACAATTTTTATGGAAAAATCGCACTCAATCAGAACAACTATGGGTTTTATCGATAGATAAGGAGTTTGTGATTTAAATCAAGTAATAAAAGTTTGTTTGTGTTCACTAATTTGTATATATTCTTGGAAAACTTGCTTGAGAAAAATAAAACACACGACGCACTTTCGAGGTTAGGTTCTTGTTTGGGTCAATCTAAAAAAAAATGCGAGCTTCTGGGGCTTTCCCCCTGAAGCTGTGCATTGCCAACTTTTCTTCTCACCAGCCGCCGCCACTGCCTGAAAGAAACCCTCGATATTCAGCTGTAATTATTTTATTTTCTGTTTCAATTTCAGAAATACACGACAAGAAATGCGGACCCTCTGAACAGATTGAGATCGCGTTTGAGGAACATGTATCACATGCAAATACAAAGCAAAAGGCAACAAATCAAATTATTGGAACAAGAAGTCAAAGAAATGGTAGAAAATTTGGAAATAATCGACAGAAGAACCAACAACTTTACTATCGAGGAGGAAGAAGATGAAAATATGGTAATAATTTTTGTATAAATCCGTAGTGAATAAATAACTACAATATTTTATTTCATACTGTTTATGAAGTAAAGTTTATAATTAATTTTTATCGGTCAATTACAGATCAAACAAGATTTCATATCAAAATCAACAGTATTGCCAAATACTGGAGTTGATTTGGTAGCCCAGACTGAGAGTGTTGAGGAAAATTTTGAAAATATAAAGTCACGCCTTACTGAGGTGAGTTTTAATATTTTATTTTTTTGTTTGTTTAAAGTTGAAATCAATATTTTTTCTCAGTTAATCAACCAAAAAATCGACACGGAAACGGCCCATTTGAACCTCAACCAAACTCATATTAATACTATGAAACAAATGATCGCCTCAACAGAAAAATCTCTAAAAATGCACATTTCTGAGCAAAAATCACTATTAGAAACGACTGAGAAAATAGGAAAAGATTTATTAGATGAGTGGATTCAGGCGATTCCAGCCGACGATACTCCAAATAAAGTCAGCGTCAATTATCCGAAACAGGTGGGCGATGGACCTTTGCCCAGGGATGTGCTTATTAAAAAGTTTCAAGAGGAATTTGATGAAGTAAGTAAAGGTTTAGAATGTTTCGAGGTTATGAATCTGGGAATTTTTTTACTTTTAGGATATTAGTAATGAGTCTTTCCATTTGAACGTGTCAACAAATACTGAGGTGAGTTAGTGATATTTTTATGTCTATAATGTTTTTCATATTTCAAAGTTTTGAGGCACGCGTGAAGTTAGCACCTGATTCTTTTTGAAATGTAGTGCAATAATTCGGAGTAAGTAAATCTCATTCAACAGTCTCGAGATTTTAATAAATGAATCATATTATACAGGGTGTCCGTTTTAAGTGATACCACTTTTGCTATCTCGGAAACGGTAAGCGATACAAGGTTGGTTAAATTAGAAAAAAGTTGCCTTTTTTGATGCCCATTTACAGTGTTGCCGAATTCCTTTCAGTTTAGGAAATACATAGTGATTTCTGAAAAATGCCTAAAACTATTTCATCAATTATTTTGAAAACTATTGATTTTCAGGACACAATTTCAATTTGAAATTTTATAATTTTTATCGCTTTACAACATAGCATCTTCAAATTTCAAATCCGACATTTCGTGATCGAGCTACCATCATCAACTTAATTTTTTATGTCATTTCAACCATTGTTTTCATACTTTTTTGGCATCTGACAGTTTGATGCCAGAGAGAGAGGTTTTTAAATTGAAAAGGTCAATATCCCATGATCAGAAAAAGAGAGCTTCATTGTAATAAATACAAGTTAGAAAACAATAAAAGATGACATGCGCGCGCAACTCGTAGGCTGCAGTGTAGCCAGATTGTATTGTTGCAGAATAAATGTAGGCAATACAAATCGAATATTATAACATTAAAGAAGTAATATAGTCTAAAGTGTTTCACAACGCTTTTAATCAGACAAAAGAAGAACTTTAAAGTAGATAAACATCGTTTGCACTTTTATTTCGATAAATGTTTCATCCGGCAACATCGCTCGATAAAATTGCAAAGGAATATGTCAAATATAATCTAACATAACCTTAAACGAAACTGCGGTGAGTTCAAGTAATATGTGAAGTATTAGTTTGCTCTTTGTCAAATTACACGTTACAAAGAAAGAAGGAACGATTCATTCTGAACTGGCCCCTGAATAAGAATATGACGCAAGCCTGTCATAAACGTGTTTCTCATTGGACGCTCACCTGCAGCCTACAAGCGACTCGCGCTGTCCAGATAATAGGAGATCGGTCTATTATTGATTTATTTTCTCCCTTAGGAACACCTCACCCCTCGAAAAAGCAATGAATACTCGGAAACTGCCACCTAACCTAATTAAGTTTAAAGTATTACTATTATTTTCTCAAACTATTTTACTGTAAAAATTAAATTAGCCTCTTTTTTTTATGTAATGACTATTTAAGCGACTGATTGATTTCAAAATTCTTTCCACTATGTTTATAAGTTTATTATTTATTATTATATTTATTATTATATTGGTCTATAGGTTTTGTTGTTTTTTTTTATTTTATTCATAGTGCAGATTTTTAATAATAAATAATAATAAATTTTCTTTTATAATTTCTATGGAATTGGTCATTTTTAACTTTTCCCTAAATCTGAAGGACATCGCACACATCTAATGGGTTTTCGGGGACTGGTCGATTTAAAAAAAAAATTAAGTACAACCCAACTTAACCTATCTTAACTCATCTTAACCCAACTTAACCCAACTCAACCCAACTTAACCCAATTTAGCCTAACCCAACTATTAATTTTCTCTTTGCCAGTTTTTCAGAAAAAAATTAAAATGCAAGAGGTGAATTTTTCTTAAATAAGTCCATTTTCCAGAATTTTTCCTGGAGTCATTTTTCATTGGAAAATTGTGAAATTTACCTATAATGAGCTCCTGACTTTCCTCTTTCTCCTGTAAAAATTTCAAAATTTTCTCTTTGCCAGTTATCCAGAAAAAAAATAAAATGCAAGAGGTGAATTTTTCTTAAATAAGTCCATTTTCCAGAATTTTTCCTGGAGTCATTTTCCATTGGAAAATTGTGAAATTTACCTATAATGAGCTCCTGACTTTCCTCTTTCTCCTGTAAAAATTTCAAAATTTTCTCTTTGCCAGTTTTCCAGAAAAAAAATAAAATGCAAGAGGTGAATTTTTCTTAAATAAGTCCATTTTCCAGAATTTTTCCTGGAGTCATTTTCCATTGGAAAATTGTGAAATTTACCTATAATGAGCTCCTGACTTTCCTCTTTCTCCTGTAAAAATTTCAAAATTTTCTCTTTGCCAGTTTTCCAAAAAAAAATTAAAATGCAAGAGGTGAATTTTTCTTAAATAAGTCCATTTTCCAGAATTTTTCCTGGAGTCATTTTCCATTGGAAAATTGTGAAATTTACCTATAATGAGCTCCTGACTTTCCTCTTTCTCCTGTAAAAATTTCAAAATTTTCTCTTTGCCAGTTTTCCAGAAAAAAATTAAAATGCAAGAAGTGAATTTTTCTTAAATAAGTCCATTTTCCAGAATTTTTCCTGGAGTCATTTTCCATTGGAAAATTGTGAAATTTACCTATAATGAGCTCCTGACTTTCCTCTTTCTCCTGTAAAAATTTCAAAATTTTCTCTTTGCCAGTTTTCCAGAAAAAAAATAAAATGCAAGAAGTGAATTTTTCTTAAATAAGTCCATTTTCCAGAATTTTTCCTGGAGTCATTTTCCATTGGAAAATTGTGAAATTTACCTATAATGAGCTCCTGACTTTCCTCTTTCTCCTGTAAAAATTTCAAAATTTTCTCTTTGCCAGTTTTCCAGAAAAAAAATAAAATGCAAGAGGTGAATTTTTCTTAAATAAGTCCATTTTCCAGAATTTTTCCTGGAGTCATTTTTCATTGGAAAATTGTGAAATTTACCTATAATGAGCTCCTGACTTTCCTCTTTCTCCTGTAAAAATTTCAAAATTTTCTCTTTGCCAGTTATCCAGAAAAAAAATAAAATGCAAGAGGTGAATTTTTCTTAAATAAGTCCATTTTCCAGAATTTTTCCTGGAGTCATTTTTCATTGGAAAATTGTGAAATTTACCTATAATGAGCTCCTGACTTTCCTCTTTCTCCTGTAAAAATTTCAAAATTTTCTCTTTGCCAGTTTTCCAGAAAAAAAATAAAATGCAAGAGGTGAATTTTTCTTAAATAAGTCCATTTTCCAGAATTTTTCCTGGAGTCATTTTTCATTGGAAAATTGTGAAATTTACCTATAATGAGCTCCTGACTTTCCTCTTTCTCCTGTAAAAATTTCAAAATTTTCTCTTTGCCAGTTTTCCAGAAAAAAAATAAAATGCAAGAGGTGAATTTTTCTTAAATAAGTCCATTTTCCAGAATTTTTCCTGGAGTCATTTTCCATTGGAAAATTGTGAAATTTACCTATAATGAGCTCCTGACTTTCCTCTTTCTCCTGTAAAAATTTCAAAATTTTCTCTTTGCCAGTTTTCCAGAAAAAAAATAAAATGCAAGAGGTGAATTTTTCTTAAATAAGTCCATTTTCCAGAATTTTTCCTGGAGTCATTTTTCATTGGAAAATTGTGAAATTTACCTATAATGAGCTCCTGACTTTCCTCTTTCTCCTGTAAAAATTTCAAAATTTTCTCTTTGCCAGTTTTCCAGAAAAAAAATAAAATGCAAGAGGTGAATTTTTCTTAAATAAGTCCATTTTCCAGAATTTTTCCTGGAGTCATTTTCCATTGGAAAATTGTGAAATTTACCTATAATGAGCTCCTGACTTTCCTCTTTCTCCTGTAAAAATTTCAAAATTTTCTCTTTGCCAGTTTTCCAGAAAAAAAATAAAATGCAAGAGGTGAATTTTTCTTAAATAAGTCCATTTTCCAGAATTTTTCCTGGAGTCATTTTTCATTGGAAAATTGTGAAATTTACCTATAATGAGCTCCTGACTTTCCTCTTTCTCCTGTAAAAATTTCAAAATTTTCTCTTTGCCAGTTTTCCAGAAAAAAAATAAAATGCAAGAGGTGAATTTTTCTTAAATAAGTCCATTTTCCAGAATTTTTCCTGGAGTCATTTTCCATTGGAAAATTGTGAAATTTACCTATAATGAGCTCCTGACTTTCCTCTTTCTCCTGTAAAAATTTCAAAATTTTCTCTTTGCCAGTTTTCCAGAAAAAAAATAAAATGCAAGAGGTGAATTTTTCTTAAATAAGTCCATTTTCCAGAATTTTTCCTGGAGTCATTTTTCATTGGAAAATTGTGAAATTTACCTATAATGAGCTCCTGACTTTCCTCTTTCTCCTGTAAAAATTTCAAAATTTTCTCTTTGCCAGTTTTCCAGAAAAAAAATAAAATGCAAGAGGTGAATTTTTCTTAAATAAGTCCATTTTCCAGAATTTTTCCTGGAGTCATTTTCCATTGGAAAATTTTGAAATTTTCCTATAATGAGCTCCTGACTTTCCTCTTTCTCCTGTAAAAATTTCAAAATTTTTTCTTTGCCAGTTTTCCAGAAAAAAATTAAAATGCAAGAGGTGAATTTTTCTTAAATAAGTCCATTTTCCAGAATTTTTCCTGGAGTCATTTTCCATTGGAAAATTGTGAAATTTACCTATAATGAGCTCCTGACTTTCCTCTTTCTCCTGTAAAAATTTCAAAATTTTCTCTTTGCCAGTTTTCCAAAAAAAAATTAAAATGCAAGAGGTGAATTTTTCTTAAATAAGTCCATTTTCCAGAATTTTTCCTGGAGTCATTTTCCATTGGAAAATTGTGAAATTTACCTATAATGAGCTCCTGACTTTCCTCTTTCTCCTGTAAAAATTTCAAAATTTTCTCTTTGCCAGTTTTCCAGAAAAAAATTAAAATGCAAGAAGTGAATTTTTCTTAAATAAGTCCATTTTCCAGAATTTTTCCTGGAGTCATTTTCCATTGGAAAATTGTGAAATTTACCTATAATGAGCTCCTGACTTTCCTCTTTCTCCTGTAAAAATTTCAAAATTTTCTCTTTGCCAGTTTTCCAGAAAAAAAATAAAATGCAAGAAGTGAATTTTTCTTAAATAAGTCCATTTTCCAGAATTTTTCCTGGAGTCATTTTCCATTGGAAAATTGTGAAATTTACCTATAATGAGCTCCTGACTTTCCTCTTTCTCCTGTAAAAATTTCAAAATTTTCTCTTTGCCAGTTTTCCAGAAAAAAAATAAAATGCAAGAGGTGAATTTTTCTTAAATAAGTCCATTTTCCAGAATTTTTCCTGGAGTCATTTTTCATTGGAAAATTGTGAAATTTACCTATAATGAGCTCCTGACTTTCCTCTTTCTCCTGTAAAAATTTCAAAATTTTCTCTTTGCCAGTTTTCCAGAAAAAAATTAAAATGCAAGAAGTGAATTTTTCTTAAATAAGTCCATTTTCCAGAATTTTTCCTGGAGTCATTTTCCATTGGAAAATTGTGAAATTTACCTTTAATGAGCTCCTGACTTTCCTCTTTCTCCTGTAAAAATTTCAAAATTTTCTCTTTGCCAGTTTTCCAGAAAAAAAATAAAATGCAAGAAGTGAATTTTTCTTAAATAAGTCCATTTTCCAGAATTTTTCCTGGAGTCATTTTCCATTGGAAAATTGTGAAATTTACCTATAATGAGCTCCTGACTTTCCTCTTTCTCCTGTAAAAATTTCAAAATTTTCTCTTTGCCAGTTTTCCAGAAAAAAAATAAAATGCAAGAGGTGAATTTTTCTTAAATAAGTCCATTTTCCAGAATTTTTCCTGGAGTCATTTTTCATTGGAAAATTGTGAAATTTACCTATAATGAGCTCCTGACTTTCCTCTTTCTCCTGTAAAAATTTCAAAATTTTCTCTTTGCCAGTTATCCAGAAAAAAAATAAAATGCAAGAGGTGAATTTTTCTTAAATAAGTCCATTTTCCAGAATTTTTCCTGGAGTCATTTTTCATTGGAAAATTGTGAAATTTACCTATAATGAGCTCCTGACTTTCCTCTTTCTCCTGTAAAAATTTCAAAATTTTCTCTTTGCCAGTTTTCCAGAAAAAAAATAAAATGCAAGAGGTGAATTTTTCTTAAATAAGTCCATTTTCCAGAATTTTTCCTGGAGTCATTTTTCATTGGAAAATTGTGAAATTTACCTATAATGAGCTCCTGACTTTCCTCTTTCTCCTGTAAAAATTTCAAAATTTTCTCTTTGCCAGTTTTCCAGAAAAAAAATAAAATGCAAGAGGTGAATTTTTCTTAAATAAGTCCATTTTCCAGAATTTTTCCTGGAGTCATTTTCCATTGGAAAATTGTGAAATTTACCTATAATGAGCTCCTGACTTTCCTCTTTCTCCTGTAAAAA